AGCTGCGTCCTGCAAAGTTCTGGAGTGCGGGCTGCACAGAGACCAAACCCCGCCCCCGGGGCTCAGGGCTAGGGTCAGGGAGCCGGAGGTTCAGCCGAACCCCGCCGGTTCCCCGCGGTGGAGCCACTCGCAGTGCGCCCTGCTCACCAGGACGGCGATGGCGCCGTGGAGGGGGCCCATGGTCTGCAGCGTCTCACGGCCGTCCTCGGCCCGGTGCTCCCACTCCACGCCCATGGCAATGAAGCTCTTGGAGGCAGCGTCCCCCGCATTCTCCTCGTTCAGGATGAAGCTGCCTGTCTCCAAGTTCTTGACGGCTGAGAAGGCAGGAGAGGGTCCCGGCTGTGGCCGCCTGAGGGCTGGCCCAGGCCCCTGCCGGGTGTGCTGGCTGGGGCAGGTGAGGGCTCCCCCACGCCCTCGCTGCTGCGTGGTGGGGGCCCCTCGTGTCCCCAGCTGCCCTGTGGGTGGGGCTGCCCCTACGCCCCCAGCTATCCAGCAGGTGGGGGCGCCCCTGTGTCCCCGGCTGCCCTGAGGATGGGGCGCCCTGTGTTCCCGGCGCCCGAGTGGGGTGTCCGTGCAGCCCCCACGGCTTGGGAGCTCTGCTCGCCTTCAAGTCCGTTGGGCCGGGGCTCCCCTCCACGCGCGCCCTTTTCTGGGTCTGCCCGTGGGCAGGGGCTCCCCTTGGAAGCGCTGTTGAGGCCACCTGCTTGCAGTTCATTTGGGGCACCCAGTGGCCGCCTGCAGGCCACCCGGGCCCTGACAGCGGGGAGGACTCTCCACCCGGCATCGGTGGATGTCAGGCCCTGCCGCCGTGGCGCCTGCTTTGGGGTGAGCTGAAGCGGCAGGGTCCCCCACCCCCTTGGCAACTGTGGCCGCCCCCCGCGATCTTGGCCCACCCAGGCCCCAGCAGCGCCCACACCCCGAGGGGCCTGCCTGGCTGGCCAGGGCACTCAGGGCCAGGGCGCCCTCAGAGGGGCCGAGGACCTGGCGGCCATGCTTCCCCAGTGTGGAGGGGACGACCAGGGGCCACTGAGCGATGTCAGGGGGCCATGCGCAGGGTGGCGAGCGAGCAAACCGCTCCCACCATTTCGTCCATGTCACGAGGGACCCCTGGCTGGTGCCAGCGGGCCCCAGCCCTGGAGGCAGCAGCGGGAAGGACGTGGCTTTGTGTTTGCGAACTGACGCGTGTGTGTACCTTCTATTGAGGGCACGGGGTGCTGGCTTTGCATTTAGGGCCCCATATAGTTTCCTCCAAAACAGGAAGGAAACACGAGTATTAAAAGAGAGAGAGCGCAAGACCCTGACCCCAAAACCGAAGGAAAGAGCAAAGAGAGTGGAACGTTCCCGTAGGCACGGGTGCGGGGCCATGACAACCCTGGAGCCCCGGGCCAGTCCTGCCCCCTTGAGACAGGGAGGGAGGTGGCGCCAAGGCTGGGTAAGGGCCGGCCTCAGCCCCTGTGGTCCCTGGCATCGCTTCTGGCTGTGGCCCCACCACTCCCCAGGAGCAGGGCCTGACGCTGCTGGGGAGAGGTGCCCTTGGGTGCAGCCCCTAGAAGACCTGGGTGGCCTGGGGGGTAGGGCGTGGTCTGGAGGCAGGACCAGCCCGGGGGAAGGGGGCCCTCCCACCCTCAAGGAGGCCGGGGCCAGGAACCCGTTTTGTGGCCTGGGGGGCAAGGCCCGTCTTGGACACCGGTCCCTCCACGGCTGCCACCAGACGGAGCCCTCGAACCCCAAGCACTGGCCTCCCCACAGGGCAATGGCCCCAGGGGTAGGAGGGCGCCTGGGCCACACAGCCCGGGCCTCTGTGCATCCCGGAAGAGGTGGGCTTGGGGACGTGGGTGGCCGGCACTGAGACTCACCCAGGTGGTGGCTGGTGGAGTCCACCTCCTGGACAAGCAGGTGTCTGGCTCCGGCAGGGATCTCAAACATCTTGATGTAGCCTTTGTTTGGGGGTGGAAGACAGACAGCTGAGAACGGAGGCCCCTGGAACTCGGCAATGCAGGGAGGGGCCTGCCCTGGAGCAGGTCCACTGTGGGCTCCCTTGGTGCCCTGGAGTTTCTTAGGCTTTGACCACCCACCCTGAGGGGCGCCACCAGGAAAGCTGCAGCTGGGCTGGCCCATCTTCCAATCCCAGAGGCTCCCCCAGCCTCCTCCTCTGAAAACTCAGGCCCGAGTCCTGACCCTGGGTCCCACTAGGGCATGGACCTAGGACACCATGACTGGCAGAGGGTTTTGGGGCAGCGTCCGCCACTGGAAGATACCCGCGGGTAAGCGCAGAGCCGTGGGAGGCCTTCCCTGGGTTGGGCGTGGGCTGTGGGGCTTGGCTCCAGGCGTCTGGCTTCGAGGCCTTCCCTGCACCAGGCTCTGAGCCCAGCCCGCCTGTCTGCCCTCCTCAAAAGTGGCAAATCCAAGCAACTTCTCCCGTGTTGGAGACCGGGTGTCTGTGGCCCAGAGGGGCGGCCAGGAGGGGCAGTGCCGTAGAGTGAGGCTCACCAGAAGGCCGTCTCCCCAGAGCCCGCCTCTGCCAGGGACCCTGGGCTGCCCAGCCCTGTCCTGCACCCTGTGGGGACAGACTCACTACGAACAGGCTGTGCTGACCAGCCCAGGGAAGCGCTGCTGACGCCCGCTAGGCAGGCTGGGAGAGGGAGACCACACGGGCAGGGGTCCGGGGCTTCCCTGGGGGCTGGGGGCCGCCGCAGACCCTGGCCTCCAATGCAAGCCTCTAGGGCCTAGCCGGGCACCCATACATCCTGGCGTGCTCTGCCCTGACCCGTGGGCCCCGGGCCCCGTTCTCTTTCCCACCTGCCCCTGACTTAGGCCCCTGCCTCCCCCTCCCCCCTGGAGAGCCCCCTCCAGAAGAGAACCCAAAGAGGGCCGCAGGCAGAGTGTGCTTGGTGTTGCCTGGGCGGGTGTTGCCCCCGTCTGGCTGGGTGGGGGCACTCACTGTGCTTCTTGGGCGAGCGCGTGAACGTGCCCTTGACCACCTTGCAGTGACTGTTGTCTCCGCCGCACACGCCGCACTTGTCCTCCTGCTTGCTGGAGCCGATGACGCCGTCACAGCCCACCTTCTGCAGGGGGAGGGGCCGTTCACTGAAGACACCCCCTCAAGGCCCGCCGTGACCCTGCCCACGTCCCTGGGGACCCTGACACCTGCCCTTCCCGTGGCCCTCGGCCTGCCCGCTACTTGGAGCAGTTCTGGAGGAGGGGACAGGGAGTGGGCTCCGGCGCAAGCAGACCCATGTGCCGCGCCAGTCCCGCCGGCGCTGAGCCCGGGAACCACATCGGGTACGTGTGGCCCCAAGACAGTGGCACGGCCCCAAGAGGGCACACTCCAAGACTGGCACACGGCATAGTCCGAGGAAGTCACACTCTGAGACTGTCACTGCTGTACAGCTGGAGGGGTCACACCCAGGAATGCCCTGCATGGCGCAGCTGGACTCCACGCAGGCGCCTGTCCTCACAACGACAAGCCGGAGCCTGGCCGTGCCCCGCCATGCTGCCCTCTCTCCAGGCGTCTGCACGGCTCAGCCCCAGAAGTGGCCTCTGCGGGCCGCCTCTCGCAGTCAGACCTGGACGCCCAGCCCTTGCTCTGTCCTTAGGATGCAACGTCCTCCAGTCTGTCTTCGGGGTGTCACAGCACAGGAAGAGGCAAGAGCCGGTGAAGCACTCTTGCCTTCCTTCTCCCGGGAACCCTCTCGATGCTCCTGCGTTCCAGGGTGGAAGTTGCTCTGTACGGAATGAGCGCATGCCTTTGTTCTAGGCTGCCTGGTAGGGGCGACAGCATACCCAGGTTCTGCCATGGTTTGCACGTCCGCACCCAAACCGCACTGGCATTTGATGGCCGTCCTCACAGCTGTGACAGGTGGGCCTCTGAGAGGCGACGGGGCGTGAGGACGCTGCCCTTGCGAATGCGTGGACGCAGTTATTGCGGGGAGGTTTCCGCTAAGAAGCAGGAGTCTGGCCAGGTTCCTTCTCTCTGTCGCATGCTCACTCCCACCTTCTGTCTTCTGCCACGGGGACCCTCCTCAGACACCAGCACCGTGCCCTCAGACATTCCTACCTCCAGAACCACGCGCCGAATAAATCTCCTTTCTTGAGACACTACCTCGACTGTGGCATTCTGTCATAGCCACAGAAAGCAGCTTAAGGTAGGCTCTTCTGCTATCTGTGGCCCTGGCAGCACCCCATTCCTGGGACCACGGGAGCTCCACGGGGAGCAGCCACTGGACAGCAATAGCCCTGAACACCCTGCCCGAGGCCACGGCCACACAGACACCCAGACCGCCTCTCTCAGCACTCAGGAAGGAAGATGGCTTCTCCTCCAAACTGGTCCCCCGGCTGTACCCAAGTACGTGATAGCATCACAGGTCTCCCTCTTTGCTCTGGTTGCCAGGAAGCTCAGAGCCAATTCTCCCTTAAAGAAGCCCCTCCCACCATCCCTGGAGAGACTCGCTGCCTTTCCCTTTGCCTTGGGTTTCTGACTTGTGTCTGACGAGAGCCTTTGAGGGCGATGGCTGTAGACCACGGCAGGCCACAGAGCAGCGGTCCACACGTCCTTCTCGCATGTGCAGACAGAAGTTCGTGATCGTTGGTTTGATCGGTCTATATTTTACCGTAAGCTTTTGGACTCATTTCTGGAAGTGGGCAAGGTGCAAAGCAAGCAGTTAGAGGAGGCTGCTGTGCTTATCTTACAGCCCCTGAGAAAAATCTTACCAAAGGGAGGCGGCACGCTCTCCTGGGACCCAAAGAGCCCTGGTCTCCTAAGGCAAAGAGCCTGAGCCAGCCGCACAGAGCTGGGCCACCGTGCCTGGGCCGTGGGGGCGGGGCTGAGGAGGAGCTGGCGAGGCCCCTCCCCTCCATCCCATCCGCTGGGCAGTCCTGCTAGCAAGTAGTTACTGTCGGAAGGCTCGCCAGCTTCCTGCGCTTTGCCTCTGTGACAGCAGGCTTAGATGATGTGGCCAATGGCAGGTGGGTACTTTGCCATGGAGCGGACGCCATGTGGCCTCGTGTGACGCTCTGCTCCCCTCGAAATTCCCACTCTGTGCATGTGTGTTTCACTTGCAGCCTTCGCTGTTGTTTTCCGTGTCACCTTCCTGGGACACGGACATTCTCTGACTGACAGTCTCCACTTGGGTGCGAGCTTGTGACCCAGTGTTAGATTCCTTGAGAAGAGTCTCACATCCACATGAGTCGGTCAGATGCATCGATTTCATCTCATGACTGTCCGTTTCCTTTGTGTGTGTGTTTTGAGTCAGGGTGACATTCTGTCGCCCAGGCTGGAGGGCAGTGGCACAGTCACGGCTCACGGCAGCCTCAACCTGTTGGGCACAAGCGATCCTTCTGCCTCAGCCTCCCGAGTAGCTGGGACTGTAGGCGTATGCCACCACAATCAGCTATTTAAATTTTTTTTTTTTAGAGAGACAGGGTCTCACTCTGTTGCCAGGGTGGGCTTGAACTCCTGGGCTCAAGCGGTTCTCCCACGTCGGCTTCCCAAAGTGCTAGGACCACAGGCGTGTGCCACCACGCCCGGACATCTGTGTGCTCTCGACATTCCCTATCTGCCTCCTTTCCTGTCCATCTTTGGCGGTGTGGTCCTGCGCGCATTCAGCCACCTCTCTAACGACATCTCCGTCAACACTGGCCACATCCATGACGGTGGCCCCATGAGATGAGAGCACCCTATTTTCCCGGCACCGTTTCTGTGTGTAGATGTGTTTAGCTACACAAATTGGGAGGGGACCCCCAGGGGTTGCCCACATCCCCATTATTAAGTGACGCGTGGCTGTATATAAATATGCACGTTTTCTAATTATGCAGAATCCAGCAGCCTGCTTTGATTCACCAACGTCACCATTAATAAGGTGTTGAACTTACTCTCCCATTACCCACACGGGTGTGGCGCTGCGGCCCTGGCCACCGAGGTGGTGAGTGGTGCCCTCGCCTCCCCTGCAAGGGCAGCTCCCTGCACAGCTGCCATCCAAAGCCACTGCTACTCTAAACATTCCCATGCCTGCTGCCTGGATTAGTTATACTTCTTGAGTTGGGGTCTCACTCTGTTGCCTGGGCTGGAGTGCAGTGGCACGGTCACGCTCAGAGCAGCCTCAGCCTCCTGGCTCAGATGTTCTTTCTGCCCCAGCCTCCCAAGTAGCTGGGACTGAAAGCACACCCCATCACGTCCAGCTAATTTTTTTTTGTAGTGATGAGGTCTCACTATGTTGCCCAGGCTGGCCTTGAACTCAAGTCATCCTCCTGCACAGAAAGTGCTGGGATTACAGGTGTGAATCACCACGCCTGGCTGTTTTTTTTGACACGTTCTGTGTCTTATGACATTTGGACCTCTTAAAAATCTTCCTGGCTGAGAGAGGCTGCCCTGCCCGGGGCTCGCCAGCTCTTAGCGGCAGCGAAGGGAACAACCTTTCTCAAGCAAACCAGCCAATCCCGATCCACACCCCAGCCACCCCCCTAGCCGATGCTTCCTGGGCCTCAGTCGCTCCAGGGTTGGGCACTGACAGCTAGAGGCCTCCTGGCCGGGCTCGGGCTGCTCCCTCTGCTTTGCCCGGTCTTTCTCGGGGAAGCCCCCGCGAAGGCCCTGGCCACCTCTGCCTCGCTCCTGCCTCCCGACCTCCGGCCCTGCTGGGTGTGCTCTGCCCTTCCGCAGGGAAATGAAGGGATAAACTGCTTTCAGCAGCACTGGGCTTCCCTGACATCGCTCAGTCGCCTCCATAAATTAAAATCCCGTGGGGACAGACGCTGCCCGTGTTTGTTGTGGAGGCTTTGGTCTCAACGCCTCTGAGCCAGCTGTGCGCCCGGCCTCCCTGCCAGGCTCCAGCTGGGCCAGCCTCCCGGGCCTGCCACCCACGCCTGGCTGAAGCTACATGAGCACAGGGCGGTCCTGGAGCCGCCCCCGGCTCCCGGCGGCCCGCCCGCCCCCCGGGTGCTGCCTGCTGTCAGCCCAGAGACGTCCCGAGGGTGCAGCCGTTTCTCAGGAGGGCACGAGGGGCGCCAGCCTCCGTGACTCCTGCAGTCAGCCCGTCCCAAGTAAAATGTGATGTCAAGTTTATTAGAGAGGAAGACACGTTCAAGGGAGAATGCAGGTGCCTTCAAGGAAATGAGACACATGCATGCTTCTGAAAAGAGCAGAGGTTGCCTGGGGACGTTTGCTTGGACGGCACCAGCAGCCCTGAGAACATTCTTGCTCCCAGGACTCACTCTGCCCTACGGGGTCAGGATGTCCGGGTGGAGCCCCAAGGTCCCCAGGGACCTGCAGGCACACTCGAGTCTGAGAGCCCCTGGCACAGGAAAGGGGCGAGCTGACATTCGCGGGGGCCGGCCCTGGCCTGGGTGCTGTTTGTGACGCGCCGCAGGCTTGGCCTCACTCGGTCTCCCCCATGACCCTGAGAAGGGGCCGCCACGCCCAGGAAGCTGAGACTCGGGCGTGGCACCCACGTGGCACTCACCCTGCAGTCCCCACGCACGCAGAGGCTGAAGGCGTCCTTGTAGGAGCAGCGCGTCCCGTCGTGCACCATGCGCTTCATGGACACCACCTCGCCGGTCTCCTTGGACTCACAGTGCAGGTGGCACCTCTCCTTGGCTGGAAGGAAGCGGCCGAAGGTTGGGGCGTGGATGGCTTCCCCAAGTACTCGCCCAGCGACACGTGAAGGAGAGACCCTCACGAAGGTCACCTGAGGACGCGGCCGCCCCCCCACAGCCTGCCCTCTAGAGAGGGAGAGGGTGGGGGCGGCAACCCCTTCCCACTTCATTGTCTCCTGAGCCGTTGACTCTGGGGGCTCCGGGCGTGGGAAGAGCCTTTCCCACTAGAGTCAGCCAGGCTGTGAGTGCAGCCCAGGCCACACACACTCGAGCCCTGTGGGGAGGCCCCTGGCTCTGCAAGTGGCTGTTTTCAAGGTCACCATCCAAAGAGCCCTTTTCACTCAACCTCTGAAATCCCGAAGGACATCACACCCCCCTGACTTCGCCTCAGGGCCCTGGCATTGGTCTCAGCAACTAAAACACGGGGCCGCCAGATCGCAGCGCCCCTGAGAGGGGGGCCCTGTCTGCTCCGTCCCCCCCAGGCCTGCGCTGGCCCCTGTAGGCCAGGGCAACCCCTGTGGAGTGACGCCTGGAGCTGTGATGCCAGGCTCTCCCCGGCCTCTCTCTCCTGCCCAGAGCCCGAGAAGGACAGGAGCTGCATGCCTGATGTCCCATGGGGAGCGGGGACCCCCACGGAACACAAGCACCTCTAGGACTGAGGCCCTGGACTTCTAGCGCCAAAGCTGAGGTGGGTGTAGCCAGCAGAGCACGTAGTTTGGAAGCAGTGAGGCACATCTTCTTAGGCAGGTCTAATTTAGACAACCGAGGAACAAGGAAAGTGTCCAGACATCTTTCTTATTCGTCCATGCCCTTCACTCGACTGGCCAGACCTGCTTGGGTCCATCAAAGTCACCATCAATAAAGCAGAACCGACCACTTCCAGGAGTGGAAGGGCCAGGCTTGACAACTAGAGCCCGCCAGAGTCCAGAGTCCCGGGAATGAGTCAAGCTGGCAGCTCATCCACCTTGCCCGGCTTTTCCCAGGGAAGCCCCAGCAAAGGCCGTGGCTCCTCCCTCCTCGCTCCTGCTCCTGACCTCAGGCCCTGCGGATGTGCTGCGCCCTTCCCGGGGAGACGAAGGGAGACGAAGGGATACGCGGCTTTCAGCAGCTCTGGGCTTTCACGTCATCACTCGGTCGCCTCCATAAATACCTGTCATCCCGCACCTTGGGAGGCTGAGGTGAGTGAATGGCCTGAGCCCGCGGGTTCGAGACCCGCCCGGGCAACTTGGCGAGACCTCATCTCTACAATAAATCAAAATGAGCTGGGCGGGGTAGCGCGCACCTGTAGTTCCGGCTACTTGGAAGGCTGAGGCGGAAGGATCGCCGGAGCCCAGCAGGTTGAGGCTGCAGTGGCCAGGAGCGGCCACTGCACTCCGGTCTGGGCGACCGAGTGAGACTCCAGCTCAAAAAAATAAAATAAAATAAAATAAAATCCCGCAGCTGGAATGTGGATCTACCGTGCAGGGTGCAGGGAGTCACAGAAACAATAGGGAATTACCCAAAACACAGACATGATGTTCTAAGAAAAGCCCACATCTAGTTAGACAGTCGCTTTCCTTCCTTAGAAGGTCCTCGTGACCTTAGAGGTTGAGAGATGGTCTCTGCTCTTAGCTCATGGAATAGTTTGCTTACTCATCGTTGTGAAAGTATATAAAGCTTCTTTTCAGAAGCATGCATGTGTCTCATTTCCTTGAAGGCACCTGCATTCTCCCTTGAACGTGTCTTCCTCTCTAATAAACTTGACATCACATTTTACTTGGGACTGGCTCTGAAACTTTTCTGCGGTGATGTCAGGAACCCACAGAGGACCCGCATCACACACCCCTCGACGTCAAGGCCAGCTGGAGTCACACTCTCTGCCACCTGCCACTTGGTCTTGACTGAACCGAGGTTAGAGGTCCCCAGATGCCTCGGCAGGGTCAGACCCGCCCGTCCCTGAGTCCACCTGATCACGTATGTCCAGCCTCATCCACAGATGGCGGTCACGGGAGCCTGGTCCCCACGCGGCGGCAGCCCAGCCACCCCTCGCCAGTGTCCTTGGCCACGCCGGTGCTGTGGCTGCCCTGGCCTTGCAGCTCTGCCCTCCCCCCTCGCCCTCGCCCTCGCCCAGGCACGGGCCCAGCAGTCACACTGGCGGGGGGGGCGTCCTGCAGCCAGCTCAGAGGGCCGCAGGCGTCTGGTCATGAGTGTTGACAACCATCTCTCAACCTTTCAGGTCACGAGGACCTTCTCAGGAAGGAAAGCGACGGACCGACTCGACGGGGCTTTTCTTCAAAGCCAGGCCGCCGCTGTGCCTGCCACCCTCTCGGAGGCTCACCGTCCCGGTGCTCGTGGGGCAGCCAGTGGTGCTGGGCGTCGCCGTGCTCGAAGTACAGGTCCCACTGGCGGCACTGCTCCTCGCGGAAGTCGGCCAGGGCGTCGGGGCAGTCCTGGGGGTTGCAGAGCTGGAAGTCATAGGCGAGGCCCGAGCAGGTGCGGCCCCCGTTCGCCGGGCTGGAGGAGGAAGCAGCGGCCTCACCGCTTAGGGCCACCAGAAAGAGGCAGCCCTCGGGGCGCCCCGCCTGGGATTCTGGGGGATCCCTACGTCTCAGGGCAGCTCTGCTGAACGGAGGGACCCATGCGGCCGTGCCCAGCGGCGAGGCCCGGCATCCCCAGCCCGTGGGCCTCGGGGCACGAGGAACAGAACCCGCGGGGAATGTCCTCCCGGGGCTCCCAGGAAGGCTGCCTCCCCGGAAGGCCGCGTCAGCAGGAGCCCCTGCACGGCCCCTCCCCCAGCATGTGCCCAGGCTTGTGAACGGACAGGGCACTGCGGCGGGCACCGAAGTCTGGCCTCGCCCTCTGGGCCTGAGGCCCAGCTCAGGAAGCCGAGGGAGCCTCCTCTCCAGCTGAGCCTCGGCACGGGGCCAGGCACACAAAGCAGTGCGGAATCCCAGTGCTCGGTCCGCAACACAGGTGCCGCGAGGTGGCCGCCCCCTCACCACGGGGCTTTCTGCGCCCCAGGGAATGTGGGCTGCATTCTGGGATGTCCTCACATCACCAAGAATGGCCCCAGTCCCCAAACTGCCTCCTGAGACTCTAACTTCCCAACTTGCCATCTCCTCTAAGCCGGTGCAAAGGCCCCGGGGTGATGGGGGAGGGCGGTGGGCCACCTGGCTGCCTCGGCTCCTGGCCAGGAGGGCAGCACCCGGGGTGGCTGGCCCCGAACGCAGGCGTTCCTGAGGTGAGGCTGTCCCGCCGTGGGACACCAGAGCCTGGGTTCCCCCGCCCAGCCGATGTGGTCTTGACCCCTCTCCCCAGAGCGGTGACTGCTGACCCTCTCTGGCTCCCCAGTGGCCGGTTCAGGACAGGGCACGGGGACTGCTTTAGGGCTAGAGCCCAGCCCACTGGAATGAGCTTGGGGATCGGCCTGCCAGCCCATGATAGCTTGGCCTTGCACCACAGTGCCCAGTTTGGGAGGCGTTTTGTTTTGTCTTTTTTATGCGAAATTCCAGATTCTCAATGTTCTCAGGTAAATCAAAACCTTCAAAGCACCAGGCCAAAAAAGAAAGACAAAAGCCCGTGTGTCTGAGCAGCCACGGGACCTGCAGGGTAAGGTCCCGCAGAGTGACACTGACATCTGCGGAGGGTCCTCCCTCCTCTCCAGGCCCCCGCACCCACGGTCCGGACTCTTGGGGGATGAGGTCAGGCAGGAGGCAGCGGGCAAGGGGTGAGGGGGGAGGGTGTGACTGAGACCTGAGACGTTACTGTGGTCCTGGAGGGAGCAGGGATGGGGCGGGGGGTGAGAG